GGCAGGGGGCGTGGCCTTGGTGAGGAGACGCTCGTGTCGGGTGGTTTGTCTGTGGGAGGTGGCTCATCCAGAAGAGGAGCTGGAGCCTGTGTCCACCATAAGCGTTTAATTCCATGCTCTGCAGAGGAACTCATTTCCCTGAGCTGAGGATCCCTGAGGGATCCTAGGGAGGATGAGCTAATTAACCTCCTAAAGGTTGGAGCTTGAGGGGAGCTTGGGTAGAAGTCGGGTACCCTGCTGTGCCTTATGCTGTTACACACCGTTTCTGAGTGACATTTAGGCTGGAGCTGGCATCCCCAGTGTGAAATGGGGGGGAATTATTTATAGTTTAGGCTTAAAGAGGAAAACTTCCTGCTGGTGGTGGAGACCGTGCTCTAAACCAAACACTGGCTCGTGCTGCTGCAAAACCGGATGATGGCGTGAGTTTAAGCACAAGAGCCAGACCAGCAACAAGGAGAAACATTTTCACCGTGAGGCCGGTCAGGCGTTGGAGTGGGTTGCCCAAAAATGTTGTGCAGTCTCCATCCCTCGAGTTTTTGAAGGCCGGCCTGGATAAAGCCCTGAGCAGCCTGGGCTGACCTTGGAGCTGGCCCTGCTCCGAGCAGGGATTAGGAGCCTCCTGATGCCCCATCCCACCAGAATCGCCCCAGGGCTCTAAAGAAATTTGCTGCTCCATGTCTGATTAAAAGCAAACATGGAATTTATCCCTTCTGGAAACAAATTCAGAAGGTAACAAATGGCTGCAGTGTTCGTTTGTGACTTCTGGGACTTACTCTGGCTAACGAGTGCCGTGTTGTTCTGGAGTAGATCTATGGCTTCAGTGGGAACCCAGTACGTGCTAACAAGGGGTGATCTGTCAGGACACGCCGTTTTACTAAGCTGTTAACAGATAATTAAAAATAAAACGGTATTATGGTGCCTTTTCACAGGAACGTGCTTAAATTTGCACGATGTGAAAAGCTTCATTTAGTGCTTTCTATGGTAGAAATTGCTCAAAGGAGTTTTGAATCCTGGGCTTTCTAACTTGCCTGTGTTCCCTCTGGTTACAGCCCGGAGAAGGTGGCAGGATATCCTATTTTAAGTTTGCTTAGAAGTGGGAAGAATTAATGCTTTAATAGCCTGGTGCTTGTTCTCAGCACGTGTTGGGCTGTGTGAAGCTGGTGCTCCTCAAGGAGACAACGTCAGAGTCGATTATCTTGAACACTTTTTAATACAGGCACTTTGAAGTCTTGGCAGCTTCCACATTTGCATTTCAACCTTGATGTCCCCATTTTCCCGCTGGGGAAACTGAGCCCAAGCAAGGCCACGTAGCCTGGAATACAGGGATGATCGCATCAGTCGGTCTGAGCTGCTGCTGCCATCCTCCTCCTCCTCCTCTTGATGCTCTCCTGCTGGTCTGCACCGGCTGGCGGAGCAAGTAGTTCCTAAAAAGAGAGCGGCTGACACCGAGCAAAACCTGCTCTGAGTGATTCACGTTAAAGTCCGGTGCTGGAAAAAATGAGACTGTGACTGTAAAAGCAAAGCCTTTTGTGGTCCTTCTGGTTTTTTGCTCTCCAAGCTGGCAGCTGCACATCCACCGTCCTGCTGCCATCAGCAGAGGGCAATGGTGCTGCTCCGAGCCCTCCTGGCTGCTCGCTCCTTGGCAAACCCTCCCTGGCAGAGCAGGCTCTATCTGGTGTTGCTTCTCTTCAGCATTGAACTTGATTAAAAAAAAAAAAAATAAATGGGGAAACCCAGCAACGTTTTAGTGACTTAGGGTGCTGCTTGGGAGATGGCGTTACAGCTCGCATCTTTGCGCAGACGTGTGTTAAACTGCGTTCGGTTTGGCTTGCGCAGGAGGAAGACAAACACGCTGCGCACCAGATTTAAATCTGAGCCCTGTAAGGTTTCGCAGGAGAATGAATTTCTGTGCTCTACAAAAATCGAGCACCAAAACAGTGCAGCGAAGAAGGGAAGTCTGCTAACTGGTGAGACCTCCCCTGGAGCCCTGCGTCCAGCTCTGGAGCCCTCAGCACAAGGAGGACATGGACCTGTTGGAGTGGGGCCAGAGGAGGGCTACTAAAATGCTCCGAGGGCTGGAGCACCTCTGCTCTGAGGCCAGGCTGGGAGAGTTGGGGGTGTTCAGCCTGGAGAAGAGGAGGCTGCGGGCAGAGCTGAGTGCGGCCGGTCAGGGCTTCAAGGGGGCCCAGAGGAAAGGGGGGGACAAGCTTTGTAGTAGGGCCAGCTGGGACAGGACAAG